CTTTTCAACCCTGTGCTGGACTTCATCTCGGAGAATGTGGAGCCATTTGAACAAGCTCCTCTTCTGGGCCATGCTTTCTTCTGTCACACGTAAGCCCCACTTAGCACTTTGAGGCTTGAACCTCCAAGCCAACACGTCACGTGGAAAGTGAGCTTTATCCTGTTCCTTTTCTCTTTCAGGTAAAACAGCTGTGTTGGATTGTAAGGCAATGAAAACAAATGGTAAGTGTCAGTTACTTCTTTCTTACTGAAACTATTTTCATTGAAGTGGGGAGACAGTCTGATTGCAACATGAGCATACGTTCAAAAGTGTTTCTGAGGTTTTACATGAACAACCAAAGAATAGTCTTTTCTTTTTCTTTTCTTTTTTTTTTTTTTTTTTTGAGATGGAGTTTCACTCTTGTTATCCAGGCTGGAGTGCAATGGCACAATCTCGGCTCATCGCAACTTCCGCCTCCTGGGTTCAGGCAATTCTTCTGCCTCAACCTCCTGAGTAGCTGAGATTACAGGCAAGTGCCACCATGCCCAGCTAATGCTTTGTATTTTTAGTAGAGACGGGGTTTCAACATGTTGACCAGGATGGTGTCGATCTCTTGACCTCGTGATCCATCTGCCTTGGCCTCCCAAAGTGCTGGGATTACAGGCATGAGCCACCACGCCCAGCTAATTTTTGTATTTTTATTAGAGACCGGGTTTCACCATATCAGCCAGGCTGGTCTCGAACTCCTGACCTTGTGATCCGCCTACCTCGACCTCCCAAAGTGCTGGGATTACAGGTGTGAGCCACAGTGCCCAATTGAAATTGTTTTCACAATGAAAGTTTTCTAACTTTTCTTGTTGTTTTGTGATTGTTGTATTTTAATTAGAAAACCAACACAGGGTGGGCGTGGTGCCTCAGGACTGTAATCCCAGCACTTTGGGAGGCTAATTGGGTAGGATTGCTTGAGCTTAAGAGTTTGAGGCCAGCCTGGACAACATAGTGATACCTCGTTTCTTAAAAAAAAAAAAAAAAAAAAAAAAGGACAGAAAAAATTATTGTGAAATAATTCAAGCAACACTAGAAATATACATTGGGAGGTGGTCTAGCTCTGGTTTTACTAGTTACCAGCCAGCAGCTTGAGCACATGACATACCCACTTTGACCTTAATTTCTTCCATCTGTGAAGTGGGTTAATAAAAGCACCTACCTGGTAGGGTAGTATGCAGATCAAATGAGACAATCCCTGCCCGTCGACACAGTGGCAGTCATATGGTAAACCATCCAAAAGTGACAGCCAAGGTGGTGGTTGTTACTGTCTAAAATGTAAACATGCTGTTATAGCCTCTTCCAATCCTTCTCTCCTCCCTACTTCCAAAACCAGCCGCTCCCAATAGTCATTTTGTATTTGGTATCATAGTAAATAAACTCACCTGTGACTTTCTTTTAACTTAATATATTATAGACATCTTTTCCAAGGAGTAGATATTGATTTAGCTCACCTTTTTCCTTCCTTCTTTCTTTTTCTTTTTCTTTTTTTTTTTTTTTTTTTTGAGACGGAGTTTTACTCTCGTTGCCCAGGCTGGAGTATAGAGGCACAATCTCAGCTCACTGCAACCTCCGCCTCTTGGGTTCAGTGGGATCCTCCTGCTTCAGCCTCCCGAGTACCTGGGATTACAGGCACGTGCCACCATGCCTGGCTAATTTTTGTGGTTTTTTTTGTTTTTTTTTTTTGGTAGAGACAGGGTTTCACCATGTTGGCCAGGCTGTTCTCAAACTCCTGACCTCATGATTTACCCACCTTGGACTCCCAAAGTGCTGGGGTTACAGGCATGAGGCACCACACCCAGCCTTAGCTCATCTTTTTCAATAGCTGCATGGTATTTTATGACTCAGCCATGATTCATTTAACCATGCTTATTTATCGTTTCACTTTTGGGGGACAATATAAACAATGCTACAATAAACATCCTTGTACAAAAATAAAAAATAAAAATATAAGAAAAATAAAAATAAAAGAACAAACATCCTTGTACAAAACATCCTTTGTGGATGCATGAGAGCTTGAGAGCATCTCTGTAGAATGAAATTCTAGAAGTGAAATTGCAAGGTCAGACGGCATACATGTTTAAATTGTTACAGACCTTGCTAAGTTGCCCTCCCAGCAAGGCTGATCATATCCTATTTGTCACCAACGGTGGGTGAGTTTCCCTACCTTCCTCTCCAGTTGTGGACATAATCACTTTTACTTTTTAAATTTTATTTAGGGTTTTTTTTTCTTTTTCTTTTTTTATTTTTTATTTTTGAGACAGAGTCTCACTGTGTCGCCCAGGCTGGAGTGCACTAGTGGCCTGAGCTTGGCTCACTGAAACCTCCATCTCCCTCCCAGATTCAAACCATTCTCCTGCCTCAGCCTCCCAAGTAGCTGGGACTATAGGGGCCCATCACCATGCTCAGCTAATTTTTGTATTTTTTTTTTTTTTGAGACAGAGTTTTGCTCTTGTTACCCAGGCTGGAGTGCAATGGCGCGATCTCGGCTCACCGCAACCTCCGCCTCCTGGGTTCAGGCAATTCTCCTGCCTCAGCCTCCTGAGTAGCTGGGATTACAGGCACGCGCCACCATGCCCAGCTAATTTTTTTGTATTTTTAGTAGAGACGGGGTTTCACCATGTTGACCAGGATGGTCTTGATCTCTTGCCCTCGTGATCCGCCCGCCTCGGCCTCCCAAAGTGCTGGGATTACAGGCTTGAGCCACCGCGCCCGGCCTAATTTTTGTATTTTTAGTAGAGATAGGGTTTCACTATGTCAGCCAGGCTGGTCTTGAACTCCTGACCTCATGATCCACCCACCTCGGCCTCTCAAAGTGCTGGGATTACAGGCTTCAGCCACAACACCCAGCCTGGGTGTTTTTTTGTTTGTTTGGTTTTTTTTTTTTTATTTGAAACAAGTCTCTGCTCTGTTGCCCAGGCTAGTGCTATCTGGACTCTCCACAGTCTCGACCTTCCAAGCTCAACTGGTCCTCCCACCTCAGCCTCCCAAGTAGTGCCATACAGGTACCTTGCCACTATGCCCAGCTAACTTTTGTATTTTTAGTAGAGACAGGGTTTTGCTCTTTCCCAGGCTGGTCTTGGACTCAAGAGATCTGCCTGCCTCAGCCTCCCAAATTGCTGGAATTACAGGTGTGAGCCACTGTGCCTGGCCAATCATTTAAAAAATTTGTGCAGTGCTGGGCGTGGTGGTTCATACCTGTAATCCCAGCACTTTGGGAGGCCGAGGCAGGCAGATCACCTCAAGGTTGGAGATTGAGACCATCCTGGCTTACATAGTGAAACCCCATCTCTACTTTAAAAAAAAATTAGCCAGGCGTGTGTCGTGGCACGTGCCTGTAGTCTCAGCTACTTGGGAGGCTGAGGCAGGAGAATCACTTGAACTCAGGAGGCAGAGGTTGCAGTGAGCCTAGATCAAGCCATTGCACTCCAGCCTGGGTGACAAAGTGAGACTCCCTCTCAAAAAAAAAAAAAAAAAAAAAAAAAAATTTGTGCCAATCTGATAAGTGAAAGATGGTATCTCAGTGTTGTTTTGATTTGCAGTTGCCTCATCGCTTGTGAAGTTGAACATCTTTTTCATGTGTATTGGCCACAAAAGCTCTAGAATTCCTATATAAAAAAAACTTAGGGATGGCTATTTGGTTGGAAAGGTAGTTTAGGTCTTAAAGTTGAGTTTATGTGGCAGGGCACAGTGACTCATATCTTAATCCCAGCACTTTGTGGGGCTGAGGCAGGCAGTCACTTGAGGTCAGGAGTTCAAACCAGCCTGGCCAACATGGTGAAACCCTGTCTCTACCAAAACTGCAAAAATTATGGGCCTATAGTCTCAGATACTCAGGAGGCTGAGGCTGGAGAATCAATTGGGCCTGGAAGATTGACATTGTGGTGAGTCAAGATTTTGCCACTGCATTCCAGCCTGGACAACAGAGTGAGACTGTCTCAAAAAAAAAAAAAAAAAAGTTGAGTTTATATAAGACTGAGAAAATGTTAATTGTCCAGATCAAAGACTGGGAGGAAAGTTTATGGCATTTTTTTTTTTAAACAAGTTTATGACTTTTTTTTTTTTTTTTTTTGAGACGGAATTTCACTCTTGTTACCCAGGCTGTAGTGCAGTGGCGTGATCTCGGCTCACCGCAACCTCTGCATCCTGGGTTCAAGTGATTCTCCTGCCTCAGCCTCCCGAGTAGCTAGGACTACAGGCGTGCGCCACCATGCCCGGCTAATTTTTGTATTTTTAGTAGAGACGGGGTTTCACCATGTTGACCAGGATGGTCTCGATCTCTTGACCTTGTGATCCACCTGCCTCAGCCTCCCAAAGTGCTGGGATTACAGGCTTGAGCCACTGCGCCCGGTCTTTGTTCTGTTTTGTTTTTTAAAAATTAGAGATGAGGTCTCACTATGTTGCCCAGGCTGTTCTCGAACTCCTGAGCTCAAGTAATCTGCCCACCTTGGCCTCCCAAAGTGCTGGGATTACAGGCGTGAGCCACTGCCCAGCTTCAAGCACTGTTTAGTGAGCATCTGCATCTCTTCCTCTGGGAATGACTTGTTCATCCTATTTGCCCATTTATTTTGGGGTTTGTCCTTTTTTCCTTGGTTTGTAGTTGATTTATATGCATAAAAGGAATCTTCTGCTTCTATTTATGTCTTAAACATTTTCTTCTAAGCTGTCACTTGAATTTTAATTTTGTCATGGTGAAGTTTTTAATTTTAAGATAGTCAACGTTTTCAATCTTTTCTTTATAGCTTCTAATTTTTGTGTCTTACATGGAAGATCAAACCTTACCTGATATACACAAATCTTTTCCTGTATTTCTCTTAATTCTTTCATAGTTTAAAATATATATATATAAAAAATAGATTTTCTTTTCTTTTTTTCTTTTTTTGAGACCGGGTCTTGCTTTGTCGGCCAGGCTGGAGCACAATGAAGAGCTGATCTTGGCTCACTGCCACCTCTGTCTCCCAGTTTCCAGCGATTCTCCTGCCTCAGCCTCCTGAGTAGCTGAGAATATAGGCACAGGCTCTAGGCCCAGCCAATTTTTTTGTAGGGTTTTTTTTTTGGTTTTGTTTTAGAGACAGAGTCTTGCTCTGTAACCTAGGCCGGAGTGCAGTAGCACAATCTTGGCTCACTGCAACCTCCGCCTCCCGGGTCCTGGTTCAAGCAATTGCCCTGTCTCAGCCTCCCAAGTAACTGGGATAACAGGTGCCCACCATCACGCGCGGCTAATTTTGTATTTTTAGTAGAGACAGGGTTTCTCCATGTTGGTCAGGCTGGTCTCAAACTCCCGATCTCAGGTTATCTGCCCGCCTCAGCCTCCCAAAGTTCTGGGATTACAGGCATGAGCCACTGCACCCAGCCCTAACCAGGATTTTAACAAGGACTTTTTTGTGTATTATTTTGTTTTTCAGAATTTCCTTCTCCATGTTTGGACTCAGAGACTAATGTGGTCATGAAGGGTCAAAATGTATCTGTGTTTTGTTCCCATAAGAACAAATCACTGCAGATCACCTATTCATTGTTTCGAAGTAAGACACACCTGGGAACCCAGGATGGAAAAGCTAAACCCGTGATTTTTAATCTAAGCATCACAGGACCCCATGAGTCAGGCCCCTACAAATGCAAAGCACAAGTTTACAACTGTTCAAAATACAGTCCTGACTTCAACTTCATAATTGCCGGTAAGTAGAGCATCTGTTCCTTAGAGCCCCTATAATTTATGGGGTCCTTTCTTGTTCTAGGAGGGGCTCTCCATGCCCCTTATCAACACTTGCTCAAGAACCTGGAAAGTATGTCACTGCGATCTTTTTTTTTTTTTTTTTTTTTTGTGACAGAGTTTCGCTCTTGTTACCCAGGCTGGAGTGCAATGGCGCGATCTCGGCTCACCGCAACCTCCGCCTCCTGGGTTCAAGCAATTCTCCTGCCTCAGCCTCCTGAGTAGCTGGGATTACAGGCACACGCCACCATGCCCAGCTAATTTTTTGTATTTTTAGTAGAGACGGGGTTTCACCTTGTTGACCAGGATGGTCTCGATCTCTCGACCTTGTGATCCACCCGCCTCGGCCTCCCAAAGTGCTGGGATTACAGGCTTGAGCCACCGCGCCCGGCCGTCACTGCGATCTTTATTCTTTTTTTATTTTTTATTTGTAGACCTGGTCAACAGGAAATGTCTTTTTTTTAATTTTTGAGACCTCCATTGTTTTTTTTTTTTTTTTTTTTTTTTTTGGAGACAGAGTCTCACTCTGTTTCCCAGGCTGTAGTGCAGTGGCACAATCTTGGTTCACTGCCACCTCTGCCTCTGAGGTTCAAGGCATTTTCCTGCCTCAGCCTCCTGAGTAGCTGGGATTACAGGCGCCCACCACCACATCTGGCTAATTTTTAAATTTTTACTAGAGACAAGGTTTCACCATGTTGGCCAGGCTGGTCTTGAACTCCTAACCTCAGGTGATCCGCTCGCCTCAGCCTCCCAAAGTGCTGGGATTACAGGCATGAGCCATCATGCCCAGTGAAATCTCTATTCTCAATAATTCCTTTTCACCTTCTCTTTCAAAGACTTTGATTTTGTCAGATAATAGTCATATCTTTAGGCAAAAGTCATGTATCTCGACAATAATTGTTGAGTTTTTTCTTTTTTTTTTTTTTTTTGAGACGGAGTTTCGCTCTTGTTAACCAGGCTGGAGTGCAATGGCGCGATCTCGGCTCACCGCAACCTCCGCCTCCTGGGTTCAGGCAATTCTCCTGCCTCAGCCTCCTGAGGAGCTGGGATTACAGGCACACGCCACCATGCCCAGCTGATTTTTTGTATTTTTAGTAGAGACGGGGTTTCACCATGTCGACCAGGATGGTCTCGAACTCTCGACCTCGTGATCCACCCGCCTCGGCCTCCCAAAGTGCTGGGATTACAGGCTTGAGCCACCGCGCCCGGCAATTGTTGAGTTTTTTCTAGAAGCTTTATTCTATGATTCCCATTATGTAGGCAAAAATCACTTTTCTTTTTTCCTTGAAGCTTTGGGCCCCATGGAGAGGGTCTTCAACGCCCCAGGCCTTTCCCACCCTTCCTTAGTGGCCCCATCCGCCAGCACTCTCCCTGCCCAGCCAGGTCTCACTACTTCTGTGTTTTTCTCTCCCATTTTCCCACCCAAGCCTGTTACTGCCTAGTATTTAGGGCCTCATCCATGAAGGTGACCTTGATAATGAACTCCTGGGATAAGAGAGAAGGCTTCTAGGTAATACATGTATGTTATACCTTGAGTCTTCTAAGCACAGGGACTGTGACTTCCCGATAACTCTTTCTTTTTTTTTTTTTTTTTGAGATGGAGTTTCCCTCTTTGTACTTAGGCTGGAGTGCAATGGTGAGATCTCGGCTCACCGCAACCTCCGCCTCCTGGGTTCAGGCAATTCTCCTGCCTCAGCCTCCTGAGTAGCTGGGATTACAGGCATGCGCCACCATGCCCAGATGATTTTTTGTATTTTTAGTAGAGACGGGATTTCACCATGTTAACCAGGATGGTCTCGATCTCTTGACCTCGTGATCCACCCGCCTCGGCCTCCCAAAGTACTGGGACTACAGGCGTGAGCCACTGCGCCTGGCCCCGATAACTCTTGAGTGGTTCTCTAGGTCTATGCTATCCAGTATGATAGCCACCAGCCACATGTGACTTTTTATATGTTATTTATTTTGTTTTATTTTCTTTATTTCTTTATTATTATTATTTTTTGAGATGGAGTCTCATTCTGTCACCCAGGCTGGAGTGCAGGGGTATGATCTCAGCTCACTGCAACCTCCATCTTTTGGGTTCAAGCAATTCTCCCACCTCAGCCTCCCAAGTAGCTGGGATTACAGGCATGCACCACCATGCCTGGCTAATTTTTATGTTTTTAGTAGAGATGGGGTTTCACCATGTTAACGAGGCTGGTCATGAACTCCTGACCTCAGGTGATTCATCCACCTAAGCCTTCCGAAGTGCTGGAATTACAGGAATGAGCCACCGGGCCTGACCAAAATTTATTTAATAGCCTCACTATGCCGCCCAGAGGCTACTCACAGGCAATTGAAGCCCACTGCAGCCTCAAACTCCTGTTCTTAAAAGATCCTCTCACCTCAGCATTTTGAATAGCTGGGATTATAAGCACATGCCATTGTGGCTTGCACATTTAAAATCAAATTAATTAAAATTAGATGAAATAAAAAATTTCACTCTGCAGTCTCATTAGTTACATTTCGAGGCTTCAGTAGCCACACCTGTAGCTGGTGGTGGCCACGTTGGACAACACAGATGTAGAGCATTCCCATGATCACAGAAAGTTCTACTGGGTGCCATTGATGTAGCGCAGTGATTCTTAGCTTTTTAGGTTATAACTGTCTTAATAATCTAATGATAGCAATGAATACCTTTGCCAGAAGAATGCTCACAAAACCACAGATAGAAATTTCTGCATAAGGTTTTAGAAGGTGCTACGGACTCCAGGTTAGAACCAATTAGCCTGGCCAGGTGCAGGCTCACGTGTAATCCCAGCACTTTGGGAGGACAATGCAGGAGGATCACCTGAGCCCAGGAGTTTGAGATCAGCCTGGGCACTATATGGAGACTGCGTCTCTACAAAAAGTTAAAAAAAAAAAAAAAAAAGCCAAGCGTGGTGACGTACCTATACTGCCAACTACTCGGGAGGCTGAGGTGGGAAGATCGCTTCAGCTCAGGAGTTCAAGGCTGCAGTGCACCATGATTGCAGTGCACTGCACTCCAACCTGGGTAACAGAGAGAGACCCTGTCTCAAAAAAAAAAAAAAAAAGACCCAATGATCTTTGGACATAAACTAAGTATATTCCTTGTGAAAGGAAAATGAAGAAGGAGGGAGAAATCCCTGCCAACATAGTACTAGAATACCATGAATAAATGAGGGCAGAAACACAGCTGATAGCATTCCCTAGCGGTCAGACCTGCTGCGCTGGGCAGTAAGCCCATCTGCACATGTTTTCTGTGCACGACCTTCTTGCAATTTGTTAGAGTAATGACACAGTCTAGTAATAAAACTATCTTGGTAGATTATAAAACTGTATCCTCTTCAGTTAGGTCAGATCAATAGGCACGACTGAGTGCCTACTCCGTGCAAGCAATTGTACTACTGAGTTTTAAATGAGGCCTAAAACATAGTCTTGTCCCCAATAAAGATTGAACGTATGAGCCATAAACACAAATTCATTAATTGCTGATTCCCTCAACAAATGTTTAAAGAAAACACAGGCCCAGCTGCGGTGGCTCATGCCTGTAATCCCAGCACTTTGGGAGGTTTTGGCGGGCGGATCACTTGAGAACAGTAGTTCAAGACCAGCCTGGCCAACATCGTCAAACCCCCTCTCTACTAAAAATACAAAAATTAGCCAGGCATGGTGGTGAGGATCTGTAATCCTTAGCTACCTGGGAGGCAGAGGAAGAAGAATTGCTTGAACCTGGGAGGCGGAGGTTGCAGTGAGCCGAGATGGCGCCATTGCGCTCCAGCCTGGGGGAGAGAGAGAGAGGCTCATAAAATAAGAAAATATTTTTTTGAGAGAGACTCATAAAAATTAAACAGATGTGCCAATCCCTGTATTGGTTCTTGCCCTGGTGGGGCATACAGTCCAGTGTTTGCAGACAACAAACCCAAGTACACAAACAAGCACATCACAAACTGTGTTGAGTGTTGCAAAGGAAAAGAAACTGGCACAGAGATGGAGAAAAGTAGATGGGGGAGGGACCTGCTCAGATGGGGTACTTAGGGAAAGCCTTGCAAGCGGAGGGCTTTAAGTAGATCCCTGGAGGATGAGGAGTTAGCTCTATGAAGAGACAGGATAAAGCGGGGCTTTAGTCAAGGGAGTGCAGCATGCTCAGGGGCTCCATCTTGGGAAAGAACTTGGCTGGTTCCATGAACTATATGGAGGCCTGTGTGGCTGACCGGATGAAGGGAGTCTGACCTCAGATGAGACTGGAGGGAGAGGCCGGTCAAGTCAGGCAGGGCCTGGGGCCACAGGAGGCGTTTTAGACTCTTCCATGAGCAGTGGGCAGGCAGGGGAGTGCCAGTACCCAATTAATCATCCTCAAGTCAGTTCATTCAGCAAGCATGCAGGGCAAGTTGGAGATGGGTTGGGAGGCTCTTGCAAGTATCCAGGAGAGAAATGATGGAGAGGTAGGGACAGATGTGGAAGGACTGAAGAAATATTTTAGAGAAAGAACCGACAGAACTTGCTGACTGGTTAGATTTGGAATCACAGGCAGTGAAGGTGGAGAAAGAATCGAGAATGGCTTCCAGATGCCTAGATGTCTAGCTTGATCGACCCGTGAAGACTGGTACTATCTACTGTGATGGGGAAACATGGAAGGACAAGATTTTATTTATGTATTGGTTTTGAGATGGGATCTCCCTCTATTGCCCAGGCTGAAGTGCAGTGGTACGACCCTAGCTCTCTGCAGCCTCAAACTGGAGTCAAGTGACCCTCCCACCTCAGGCTCCCAAGTAGCTGGAACTACAGGTGTGCACCACCACACCTGGCTAATTTTTGTATTTTTAGTAGAGATGGGGATTCACCATGTCGGCCAGGCTGATCTCGAACTCCTGACCCCAGGTGATCCTCCCACCTTGGTCTCCCAAAGTGCCGGAATTACAAGTGTGAGCCACCACATTCAGCCCTGAACAGGATTTTAAAATGGTGTTTCTCTGTCTTCCTAGTGATTGATTCATGAACTAGCATATGAACTAGAGTTCAGTTTCAAACGGTTACATCTAAGGTGACCATGAGACACCTAAGTAGATCATGTAGTAAGAGGTAGTAAAAGTAGCATGCGGATGGGACCAAGGGCTAGAGGCTACAGAGAAGGAGAAAGCGCTTCTCCCTGGAGGATTCAGGAAAGGCCTTCTGGGGAAGGTGGCAGAGAGGACTCCTTGAAATTTGAGAAATATAACTGATTTATTGAAGAGCTGTAACTCACTGAAGCTTCCTTCCTCAGACCATCATGACTCTGTGATGACGTACCACTCCTCCTACGAACTCTCAGGGAAGTCTACATCTTTCTAATCTCTTTATATCAATCCTTGGTCCAGTTGAAATCATCCCATCTCAGAGAGGAGTCTATGCTCTCTGCTTCCTCATGAATGTTTCAACTCCTTCTTCCTGATAATTACAGGAGATAGATTTCAGTTCAATAGGAAGAAACTCCTATTGGTGCTATGCTCTCTCGCTGTCTTTTCTTTCTTTTTTTTTTTTCTTTTAGAGACAGTGTCTTGTTCTGTTGCCCAAGCTGGAGTGCAGTGCTGTGATCACAGCTCATGGCAGGAGACTTGAACTTCCTGGGCTCGAGCAATCCTCCTGCCTCAGCCTCCCAAGTAGCTGAGACTACAGATACATGTCACTACACTCAGCCATTTTCTTTTTCTTTTCTTTTTTTTTTTTTTGAGACAGAGTCTCACACTGTTGCCAAGTGCCAGACTGGAGTGCAGTGGCGTGATCTCAGCTTACTGTAACCTCCACCTCCCAGATTCAAGCAATTCTCCTGCCTCAGCCTCCCGAATAGCTGGGACCACAGGCGCATGCCACCATGCCCAGCTAATTTTTGTATTTTTTTTAGTAGAGACGGGGTTTCACCATGGCCTCAATCTCTTGACCTCGTGATCCACCCACCTCCGCCTCCCAAAGTGCTGGGATTACAGGTGTGCAACACCGTGCCTGTCCTCTATACTCAGCCATTTTTTTGTTTGTTTTGCAGAGACAGAGGGGTGTCACTACATTGTCCAGGCTGATCTTCAACTCCTTGCCTCAAGTGATCCTCCAGCCTCTGCCTCCCAGAATGCTGGGATTACAGGCATGAGCCACAGTGCTCAGCCTCCATTGGTGCCATTCTCCAACAAAATTGCCCTCTGAGGCCACCATCACTAGGTGCCATTCTGTGAAGGATATTGTGACAGGGGTTACTGTTCACGGGGGAGATGGAGCAAGGAGATTCTAAATTATTTTCTTTTTTTGAAATGGAGTTTCGCTCTTGTTACCCAGGCTGGAGTGCAATGGCGCGATCTCCGCTCACTGCAACCTCCGCCTCCTGGGTTCAGGCAATTCTCCTGCCTCAGCCTCCTGAGTAGCTGGGATTATAGGCACGCACCACCATGCTCAGCTAATTTTTTGTATTTTTAGTAGAGACGGGGTTTCACCATGTTGACCAGGATGGTCTCGGTCTCTTGACCTCGTGATCCACCCGCCTCAGCCTCCCAAAGTGCTGGGATTACAAGCTTGAGCCACCGCACCCGGCCTAAATTATTTTCTTTCATGTAATAATACCATGGTCCTATACTGTATTGTTTCCATACCAAATTGAATATTGTTAAACTGCACCTCAGCACTTTAGCACTTTGGGAGGCTAAGGTGGGCAGATCACTTGAGTTCAGAAGCTGAAAGCTGCAGTGGGCTATGATAATGCTGTGGCACTCCAGCCTGGGCGACAGAGCAAGTTGCTGTCTCTAAAAAAAAAAAAGAATTTTAGTAGTCCGGGCTAGGTGGCTCACACCTGTAATCCCAGTACTTGGGAGGCCAAGGCAGGAGGATTGTATGAAGTCAGGAGTTGGAAACCAGCCTGGGCAACACGGCAAAACCTCATCTCTACAAAACATACAAAAAAGTAGACAGGTATGGTGACACATGGCTGTAGTCTCAGCTATTTGGGAGGCTGTGTTAGGAGGATTGCTTGAGCTGGGGGTGGTTTTTGGTGGTTTTAGGGGGAGCTGAGGTTGCAGTGAGCCATGATCACACCATTGCACTCCAGTCTAAAAGAGAGAGTAAGAACCTGTTTCAATTTTTTTTTTTTTTTTTAGATGAAGTCTCGCCCTGTCACCCAGGCTGGAGTGCAGTGGCGCAACCTTGGTGCCCTGCAACCTCCGCCTCCCAGGTTCAAGCGATTCTCCTGCCTCAGCCTCCCAGTAGCTGGGATTATAGGCGCTTACCACCATGCCCAGCTAATTTTTATATTTTTAATAGAGACTGAGTTTCACCATGTTGGCCAGGCTGGTCTCGAATTCCTGACCTCAGGTGGTCTGCTCGCCTCATCCTCCCAAAGTGCTGGGATAACAGGTGTGAGCCATGGAGCCTGGCCAAAAAAAAAAAAAAAAATTAAAGAAAGTAAATTAAAAAATTTTTTTTTTTTAGGTGTGGACTCTTGAAGTCAGTCTGACTCTACCATTTACTAGCTGTGTGACCTTAGGCAAATTTCTCAGTCTCTCTGAAGCACAGTTGTTTCATCTATGGAATGGTCATGATACTATCTACACTGCAGGCTGTCATGAAGGTCAAATGAGGTCATGTGAATGGCATGCCTGGCACATGATAGATAATCAACAACTTCCTTTCCTACAACACTATCTTATTAATATGTTCTATAATAAAACATAGCTGTTTTTTTTTTCTGTTAGGTCATAGCATATTCTCTGTTGAGAGTTTCTCTTGAATCTATTTAGCAGGGTTACTTTCTGCTCTTTGGAGGAAGTGAAAGGTAATTGTGCAGCTGAGTTCTATAAATAAAAGTACAGTTAGAGAAAATGGTATTTTTGGAGCTGGGTGTGGTAGCTCACATCTGAAATCCCAGTTCTTTGGGAGGCTGAGGTGAGAAAATCACTTGAAGCTGAGTTTGAGACCAGCCCAGGCAACATAGTGAGACCCTGTTTCTACAAAACATTTGAAAATTAGCCAGCGGTGTGCCCTTGTAGTCCCAGCTACTGGGGAGGCTGAGGCAGGAGGATCGCTTGAGCCTAGGAGTTTGAGATTACAATGAGCTATAATTGTGCCACTGCATTCCAGCATGGTTGACAGAGCAAGACCCTCCCTATCTCTAAATAAATAAATAAATTGAAAATAAAATGATATTTTTGGATTTTAAAAAACCCACTGTAAATTTACAAGGATTGAGAATAAAAGCACTTCTTGGGCTGGTGGGATAGCTCATGCCTATAATCCCAGCACTTTGGGAAGCCGAGGTGGGAGGATCACTTGAGGGCAGGTAATACTGCATGTCTGTAAAAAATAAATATTAAAACCACTTCTAGGCTGGGCTCGGTGGCTCACGCCTATAATCCCAGCGCTTTGGGAGGCCAAGGTGGGCAGATCACGAGGTCAAGAGGTTGAGACCATCCTGGCCAACATGGTGAAACCCGTCTCTACTAAAAATACAAAAATTGGCCGGGCATGGTGGCACGTGCCTGTGGTCCCAGCTACTCGGGAGGCTGAGGTGGGAGAATCGCTTGCACCCAGGAGGCGGAGCCTGCAGTGAGCCGAGTTTTCCAACCTGGCGACAGAGCAAGACTCCGTCTCAAAAAACAAAACAAAACAAAACAAAAAAACCACTTCTTAACTTCACACTTAGAATTGGATCATTGACAAAATTATATTCATTATTAACAATAAATAGATTGTGAATTCTAGGAAAAGCAAGCTTGCACCCCAGTTCCTCAAAGCAGAGAGATGCCCTCCACTCTCTGGCTTTCTCAGTACTGGGCTGAGAAACTCGGCTAACCCCACATTGTGCAGGGTTAGCCACATACCCAGTGGCCTTTCCCAGTGGGCCCTGAGCTTCTTGACTTCTTGGGAAGCGGGGGGTCATTCATCTTGGTTGCACAGCCGGAAATGGAGGAAGGGTTCCACCCGTGTTTGTGGTCCGAGTGAGTGCACCCAATCTGTTTATCCTTTTCACATTCAATTTCATTCTTCTAGACCCAGTGACTGCCCCAGTGCTGAACATTACGGTCATTCAAACAGAAACAGACCAACATATAACATTACTCTGCCTCTCGGTCAGCGGCTCACTGCCCATCAATTACACTTTCTTTGAAAAACATGCTGCCATATCGCCAGTTATTTCCAAGTACAACAGGGAGCCTGCTGAATTTAACTTAACCAGGAAGAACCCTGGAGAAGAAGAGTATAGGTGTGGAGCTAAAAACAGATTGCCTAACTATACAGCATACAGTCAACCTGTCGTCATGCCTTCAACAGGTAAGAGTGACTGAGTTCTTTCAACCAGGTCTGAACTCGCTTCCAGAAACTGCAGGTACTCCTCTGCCCACTCATTCCCCACCTTGAGCCCAGGAGTTCGAGACCAGCCCAGGCAACATGGCAGAACCCCTGTCTCTACAGAAAATTCAAAAAAATTAGCTGAGGGTGGTGGTGCACGCCTGTGGTCTCGGCTACTTGGAGGATGAAGTAGGAGGATTGCTTGAGCCTGGGAGGTCGAGGCTGCAGTGAGCTGTGATCATCATGCCCTGCACTTCAGCCTGTGCAACAGAGTGAAACCCTGTCTCAAAGAAAAAATAAAAAGAAAAGGGGAGGGGAGAGGAGGGGGAGGAAGGGGATGGAAGGGGAGGGCAGGGGAGCTAGGTTAGCAAAGGCAGAAGGCACACTCAGCCACATCCTCAGAATAGAGTCCACGCCCTGGTGTTCAGGGAGGGAGCCTGCTGGAGTGGGCACTTGGCTATGAGTCACAGCCCTTCCGTTTACTGGCTGTGTGATCTTAGGAAAGTCATTTCACCTCCCTGAGCCTTACACACCTCATCTTGATGTTGGCCAGGCGTGACGGCTCACACCTGTAATCCCAGTACTTTGGGAGGCCAAGGCGAATAGATCACTTGAAATCAAGAGTTCGAGACCATGCTGGCCAACATAGTGAAACCCCATCTTTACTAAAAATACAAAAATTAGCTGGGTATGGTGGCACGTGCCTGAAATCCCAGCTACCTGGGAGGCTGAACCAGGAAGTCTGAGGTTGCAGTGAGCCAAGATCGCGCCACAGCACTCCAACCTGGTTACAGAGCGAGAATCAGTCTCAAAAAAAAGGAGTGGTGCCAATGAGATAAATAAGACAACACAGGCAAAGTGCCTAACACAGCATCTGGCCTGCAGCTAAAACACAACAACTGGCAGTTGTTTGGGTGACACGAAACCTACCAGCAGGGCTCAGGGCTTTGCCCAGGAAACACCCCGGCCTTTCTGGTGCTGATGAGCCCAGCGATGTTGTTGGTAATCGTTCTGTTAAATGCTGTGTTGCTTTCCTCTTCTTTGAATACCCCCTGCGGAAGATGTGCTTGGTCATGACTTTTTACACTTGATTACTTTATTTTATTATTTATTTATTTTTTGAGATGATGTCTCACTCTGTCACCCAAGCTGGAGTGCAATGGCACAATCTCGGCTCACTGCTACCTCCGCCTCCCAGGTACAAGAGATTCTCATGCCTCAGCCTCCCTAGTAGCTGAGATTACAGGCATGCACCACCATGCCCAGCTATTTTTTTGTGTTTTTAGTAGAGATGGGGTTTCACCATGTTGGCCAAACTGGTCTCAAACTCCTCACCTGAGGTGATCTGCCCAGCTCGGCCTCCCAAAGTGCTGGGATTATAGGCTTGAGCCACTGCGTCTGGCCTATTTTTATTTATTTATTAACTTATTTATTTGTTGAGACAGGCTCTGGCTCTGTCATTCAGGCTGGAGTGCAGTGGCACAATCATAGCTCACTGCAGCCTCCACCTCCTGGGCTCAAGCAATCCTCCTGCATCAGCCTCCTGAGTAGCTGGGATCACAGGCACATGCCATCACGCTTGGCTAATTTTTATTTATTTATTTATTTATTTTGTAGAGAGACAGGGCCTCACTATGTTGCCCACACTGGTCTCAAACTCCTGGCCTCAGGCGATCCTCCCACCTTGATCTCCAAAAGTGCTGGGATTACAGGTGTGAGCCACCACGCCCAGCCAATAACTTTATTGACTAATAAGCCAAGAACTTTATTGACTAATAAGTCCCATGAGTTGCAGCTGTCATGACCGTTTGGGAACCTGGGTGCATAGTACATTGGTTAACTTGGGAGACATTGCCTTTTCTAGAACACTTACCTGCTTACTGTCATTGGAAAAGAAAGTGCTATGGTCACCAGTGAATGCTGTCTTCTTCCAGGCGGGGACAGCTGTCCTTTCTGTCTGAAACTACTGCTTCCGGGGTTATTACTGCTGCTGCTGGTGATAATGGTGGTGATAATCCTAATTCTGGCTTTTTGGATACTACCCAAATACAAAGCAAGTAAGTTCTTTTAGTCACTTTACCACCGTTTTCCCATGGGTTTGGGATACAGACAGCAGGGCAGAGGGTGAGGAGGAAGGGAAAATGGGATCAGAAACAGAATGGGGAGAAAATGAAAATAGGAGGAAAAGATGAGAAAAGGGAGCAGGAATGGAATGGACTTCCTGAACGGTTCATGCAAAGGATAATTCTTCTTTCTCCAGGGAAAGCCTTTTCTGATTGAGAGCAAGCAGAGCTGGCTTCATAGGTGTGCAGCCTGTGAAGTCACACAGGCCCCTGCGCCAAGAAGAATTCCACATTTGGGTTAAAAAAAAAATTTTTTTTTGAGACAGTTTTGCTCGTTTCCCAAGCTGAAGTGCAGTGGTGCACTCTTGGCTCACTGCCACTTCTGTCTCCCAGGTTCAAGCGATTCTCCTGCCTCAGCCTCCCAAGAAGCTAGGATTACAGGTGCCCACCACCATGCCCAGCTAATTTTTTGTATTTTTAGTAGATACAAGGTTTCACTGTGTTGGCCAGGCTGATCTCGAACTCCTGACCTCTGGTGATCTGCTGCCTCAGCTTCCCAAAGTGCTGGGATTACAGACGTGAACCACCGCACCCGGCCTTCCTCATTTGGTTTAATGCTCTGCTGTTACCATCTTGAAATTATTTAATTTTTTTTTTTTAAGAGACAGAGTTCCACTATATTACCCAGGCTGATCTCAAACTCCTAGGCTCAAGCGATCCTCCCATCTCAGCTACCCAAAGTGTTAGGATGCATGAGCCACTATGACTAGCCACCACCTTGAAATTAAATTCTTTCCTTTTTTTTTGAGACAAAATCTCACTCTATTGCCCAGGCTGGAGTGCAGTGGCACGATCTTGGCTCACTGCAACCTCTGCCTCCTGGGTTCAAGCGATTCTCCTGCCTCAACCTCCCACGTAGCTGGGAAGACAGCCGTGTGCCACCACGCTTGTCTAATTTTTTCTTCTTTTTTTTTTTTTTTTGAGATGGAGTTTCGCTCTTGTTACCCAGGCTGGAGTGCAATGGCGCGATCTCGGCTCACCGCAACCTCCGCCTCCTGGGTTCAGGCAATTCTCCTGCCTCAGCCTCCGGAGTAGCTGGGATTACAGGCACGTGCCACCATGCCCAGCTAATTTTTTGTATATTTTTTTTTAATAGAGACGGGGTTTCACCATGTTGACCAGGATGGTCTCGATCTCTCGACCTCGTGATCCACCCGCCTCGGCCTCCCAAAGTGCTGGGATTACAGGCTTGAGCCACCGCGCCTGGCTTGTTTGTTGTTTTAATACGGAGTTTTGCTGTTGTTGCCCAGGCTGGAGTGCAATGGAGTGATCTTGGCTCACCGCAACCTCCGCCTCCTGGGTTCAAGTGATTCTCCTGCCTCAGCCTCCTGAATAGCTGGGATTACAAGCATGCACCACCATACCTGGCTAGTTTTTGTATTTTTAGTAGAGACAGGAGCTGGGCGCGGTGGCTCATGCCTGTAATCCCAGCACTTTGGGAGACCTAGGCGGGTAGATCACCTAAGTCAGGAGTTCGAGACCAGCCTGACCAACATGGAGAAACCCCATCTCTATTAAAAATACAAAAAATTAGCTGGGCATGGTGATACGTGTCTGTAATCCAGCTACGTGGGAGGCTGAGGCAGGAGAATCGCTTGAACCTGGGAGGCGGAGGTTGCAGTGAGCCAAGATTGCGCCATTGCATTCCAGCCTGGGCAACAAGAGTGAAACTCTGCCAAAAAAAAAAAAAAAAAAAAAAAAAAAGAAGAAGAAGAAGAAACGGGGTTTCTCCATGTTGTTCAGGCTGGTCTTCAACTCCCGACCTCAGGTGATCCACCCGCCTCAGTCTTCCAAAGTGTTGGGATTACAGGCGTGAGCCGCTGAACCCGGCCAAGAACTTGTATTCTTAATTTAAACACAAGTTGAAGTAAGCCACGTGAACAAGTGTTTGTTTCATGCTGGGTGCTGCACGTGGCGCGGCTGCTCCTGACTGCAAGTGCCTCAAGCCAGAGCTTTGCCTTGCGTGACTCAGTGTCCTCGCTGGATCTGCCACGTAGGGGAAGCTCAGTGCACGAGGACTAACAAGCGTCATCCCATTAGCACAAAAGACACCTTCGAAAGATTTACAATTGTTTGAGGCTGGAAGTATTAAAAAATATTAGGTTGGTGCATAAGTAATGGCAGTTTTTGCCATGACTTTTATGGCAAAACCCGCAATTACATTTTTTGTTGTTGTTTTTGAGATGGAGTCTTGCTTCGTCGCCCAGGCTGGGGTGCAGTGGTGCAATCTCGGCTTATGGCAGCCTGTGTGTCACAGGTTCAAGTGATTCTCCTGCCTCAGACTCCTGAGTAGCTGGGATTACAGGCGCCCACCACCATGTATTTTTAGTAAGGACAGGGTTTTATGATGTTGGTCAGGCTGGTCTTGAACTCCTGATCTCAGGTGATCTGCTCACTTCAGCCTCCCAAAGTGCTGGGATTACAGGCCTGAGCCTGTGTGCCTGGCCCACAATTACTTTTGCACCAACCCAATATATATACATATAAAAATATATATATACATATGTGTATATGTATATTCTTTGTATGTTTCTATGCTTTCTAGATTTTCAACATAAAACTATAATCTATTCTGCTTTACGATTTTTTAAAAAGTTTACTAAACACGCCAGATTCAAAAAAACAAAAACAGAAACCAAAAAGCATCATTTCTCCCTTCCCCACCTTAAGTGCTACATCCAGCAGAAAACTTGTCAATGTTATTAGAAGCCTCAGTTACAGCCTTTTTTAAAAATGCTTTTTAGAGAAGGGGTCTCACTATGTTGCCTAGTCTGGCCTTGAACTCCTGGGCTCAGGCAGTTCTCCCACCTCAGCCTCCCAAAGTTCTGGCATCACAGTATTTTTTTTTTTTTTTTTTAATTACAATTTTTTTTTTTTTTTAGAGACAAAGTCTCACCATATTCCCCAGGCTGGCCTTGAATTTCTGGCCTCAAATAATCCTCTCACCTCGGCTTCCCAAAGCACTGGAATTACAGGCATGAGCCACTGCACCCTGGCCCACGTCTCCTGCCTTAAAAGCATGTTTCCCCTTCCTATAAATAGCCCAGGTTCTTGCAAAAGTGGCATTAATATTCTTTTTTTTTTTTTTTTTAAATGGAGTTTTGCTCTTGTTACCCAGGCTGGAGTGCAATGGCGCAGTCTCGGCTCACCCCAACCTCCGCCTCCCGGGTTCAAGAAATTCTCCAGCCTCAGCCTCCTGAGTAGCTGGGACTACAGGCATGCGCCACCATGCCCAGCTGATTTTTTTTTTGTATTTTTAGTAGAGACGGGGTTTCACCATGTTGACCAGGGTGGTCTCGATCTCTTGACCTCGTGATCCACCCACCTCGGCCTCCCAAAGTGCTGGGATTACAGGCTTGAGCCACCGCGCCCAGCGGCATTAATATTCTTGATTACTGGCTAAAGCTACAATAGAATTCAGCAGGCCAGTCTTAGTGGCTCATGTCTGTAATCCCAGCACTTTGGGAGGCCAAGGTGGGTGGATCATGAGGGCAGGAGTTTGAGACCAGCCAGGCCAACATGGTAAAACTCTATCTCTACTAAAAATACAAAAATTAGCTGGGCGTGGTGGTACATACCTTTGTCCTTGCTACTCAAGAGGCTGAGGCAGGAGAATCACTTGAACCTGGGAGCGAGAGGTTGCAGTGAGCTGAGATCGTGCCAATGCCCTCCAGCCTTGGGTGACAGAGCTAGTCTCTGTCTCAAAAAAAAAAAAAAAAAAAAGAATTCAGTGAGGCTGGCCAGGCACAGTGGCTCACGCCTGTAAATCCAGCACTTTGGGAGACTGGGGCAGGCTGATCACCTGAGGTCAGGAGTTCAAAACCAGCCCAGCCAACATGGTGAAACCCTACCTCTACTAAAAATACAAAAGATTAACGAGGTGTGATAGTAGGCGCCTGTAATCCCAGCTACTCAGGAGGCTGAGGCAGGAGCATCACTTGAACCCAAGAGGTGGAGGTTGCAGTGAGTGGAGATTACACCATTGCACTCCAGCCTGGGCAACAGAGCAAGACTCCGTCTTAAAAAAAAAAAATTAGCCAGACATGGTGGCGCACACCTGTAATCTCAGCTACTTTGGACGCTGAGGAAGGAGAATCACTTGAACCCAGGAGGCAGAGGTTGCAATAAGCCAAGATTTCGATGGCGCCACTGCACTCCAGCCAGGGTGACAGAACAAGACTCTGCTTCAAAAAAAAAAAAAAAAAAAAAAAAAAAACAAAAAACCGAGAGCATAAATTCAGTAGGCCATTTACGCTCTCTTGAAGATATTACAAAGCTTCCACAAACTGTTCTCTCAGCAAAGGAAAGAAAATAAGTCTGGCTAGTTCAGGCATTATCTGATAGGCAAAGCATATTCCTCTGAAAGCCAGGATAAGAAATCAGAAGAGCCCCTGGCTTGGAGAAGCCGTGTCTAGACTCCCTGTTGAGTCTATAGTTTTCTTCATCAGACAACAGTTTGGGCCATAGGAGCATGTTACTCTTTGTTTCAGAACTTTGGGGGAATTCTGCTCCTTGGCTGAAGAGATAAGAAAAATGTGGCTGAATTGGTTTAATTTAATGATTCTGTGCCAATTTATGCAGGAAAAGCTATGAGAAATAATTTGGCCAGGGACTGTGGAGCTGCACCCATGGAAGCTGGAATCTATGCAAATATCCATCAAAAACAAGAGAGTAAGAGAACTTTGTTGCATGTTTTGGGTGGTTTCAGGTTTTTGTCCTTTTTATTTTGTTAAGGGTGTATAGACATACGGGGCGATGGCAGGGTGGAGCAAAAGGGATAGAGTTCAATGTCTATTGATGCCCAGTCCCACTTTCTAGGGGTAATAACCAGTCTTTTTAGTCCTTTCACAGATATTCTCTGTATATAATAAAATAAACAAATGGTAGCGATTGTAGCATATCGTAGGTATGACTTTCTACACCTGGATTTTTTTTTTTCACTTATCTTGGAGATTTTTCACATCTGTTCAGAATGATCCGCACCGTGTCCCACAGTCTTTCGTGGTCACCTCCCAAAGCAGGCATCGCGCATTCCTTCACAGTAAACAAGACCCAGGGCTTTGGCTGATGTATTAGTACATTCTCATGCTACTATAAGGACATACCTGAGATGGGGCAATTTATAAAAGAAAGAGGTTTGACTCACTGTTACACAGGGATGAGGAGGCTGCAGGAAACTTACAATCATGATGGAAGGGGAAGCAAACACATCCTTCTTCACAAGGCAGCAGGAGAGAAGAATGAGAGCCGAGTGAAGGGGGAAACCCCTTATAAAACCATTAGCTCTTGGGAGAACTAACTCACTATCACTAGAACAGTATGATGGAAAACACCCCTATGATTTAATTATCTCCATCCAGTCCCTCCCATGAGATGTGGGGATTATGGGGACTACAATTCAAGATATGATTTGGGTGGAGACACAGCCAAACCCCGTCATCAGCTGACAATGGAACAATCCCAGTCAACACAGCCACATCGCAGGTGCAGTGCTGAGCAATTTACCCACCTTGTCTAACACAAACCAACCCCCAATTTATGTCATTCTCATTTTACAGAGAAGGAATCTGTACCAGAAGTGGGATCCAGACTGTGTGTTTCCACAGCCCAAGATGGTGAGCACGTTTTGCAGCGTCTTTCACACTGCCTTCATGTGGTCAGATAACTGCCCAGTAACTCCTATTTCTTAACTTTTGCCCAGGGGCTGGACACTCCCAGGAGCTACAGTATGCCACCCCCGTGTTCCAGGAGGTGGCACCAAGACAGCAAGGTGAGCCACAAGTTGGGATAAGAGGTGCTGGTGAAATGAGACAGGTGGTCCCTGTGATGTCACCATACTCAGGGGCTTCAGGAGCTCGAGAATGGGGTGGATGGCAGCAACACAGGCACACTACAAGGAACCAATGGCAACCAGCACCCAGCTCCTAAAAAATCTCATCAGGGGATGGAGGCTGGGGAAGAGGGAAGGATGTGGTGGTGCAATGTCATGGAAAAAGTCCAGAGGAGGATGCAGGATCATGAGTCAAACATTTCCCTCCCTCCCTCCCTCCTTCCTTCCTTCCCTCCTTTTTTTCTTTCTTTTTTTTTTTTTTTTTTTTTTTTTTTTTTTTTTTGAGACGGAGTTTCGCTCTTGTTACCCAGGCTGGAGTGCAATGGCGTGATCTCAGCTCACCACAACCTCCGCCTCCTGGGTTCAGGCAATTCTCCTGCCTCAGCCTCCTGAGTAGCTGGGATTACAGGCACACGCCACCATGCCCAGCTAATTTTTTTTTGCACTTTTAGTAGAGATGGGGTTTCACCATGTTGACCAGGATGGCCTCGATCTCTCGACCTCGTGATCCACCCGCCTCGGCCTCCCAAAGTGCTGGGATTACAGGCTTGAGCCACCGCGCCCGGCTTTTCTTTCTCTTTCTTTCTTTCTCTCTCTGTCCTTCCCTCCCTCCCTTCCTCCCTCTCACTTTCCTTCCTTTCTTTCTTCTTTCTTTTCCTTCTTTCCTTCCTGCCTTTTTTGTTTTTTGTTTTTTTTTAATTTTTTTTTTGAGACGGGGTTTCGCTCTTGTTACCCAGGCTGGAGCGCAATGGCGTGATCTCGGCTCACCGCAACCTCCGCCTCCTGGGTTCAAGCAATTCTCCTGCCTCAGCCTCCTGAGTAGCTGGGATTACAGGCACGTGCCACCACGCCCAGCTAATTTTTTGTATTTTTAGTAGAGATGGGGTTTCACCATGTTGACCATGATGGTCTCGATCTCTTGACCTCGTGATCCACCTGCCTTGGCCTCCCAAAGTGCTGGGATTACAGGCTTGAGCCACCGCGCCTGGCCTTTTTTTTTTTTTTGAGACATGGTCTCACTCTGTCACCTAGGCTGGAGTGAAGTGGCCCAGTCTTAGCTCACTGCACCCTCTACCTCTTGGGCTTAAGCAATCCTTCCACCTCAGCCTCCCAGGTAGCTGGACTACAGGTGTGCACCACAATGTCTAATATATATATATTTTTTGGTAGAGACAGGTATTTTGCTATATTGCCCAAGCTGGTCTTGAACTCCTGGGCTCAGCCAATCTTCCTGTCTCAGCCTCTCAAAGTGTTGGGATTACAGGGATGAGGCACTGTGCCCAGCTAACATTTTCAAGAATAAATTATTTAACACAGTCCAGGAAAAAAGTAGTTAATACCTGGTTCTGTCAGTCCACTACTAGAAGTAGTTAATACCTGGTTCTGTCAGTCCAGCTACTAGAAGTAGGATTTTTCAAAACAGCCTCTTTGGTCACATATCCTAAGTGAATTATTTTCCCTCTTATATTTCAGAAGCCTGTGATTATTATAAACCTGGATATGTCTATGCTGAACTCACCTTCTGAAATTTACAGAAACAAACTACATCTCAGGGTAAGATGCTTTTTATGAGGTTGATTTCCATGAAAAAGAAAAGCAAACTTGAGGCCGAGGCAGGTGGATCATGTGAGGTCAGGAGTTCAAGACCAGCCTGGCCAACATGGCAAAACCCCCATCTCTACTTAAAATACAAAAATTAGCTGGCCATGATGGCACACGTGTGTAGTCCCAGCTACTCGGGAGGCTGAGGCAGGAGAATCTCTTGAGCCTGGGAGGCAGAGGTTGCAGTGAGCCAAGGTCATGCCACTGCACTCCAGCGTAGGGGACAAGAGCTAGACTTCATCTCAAAAAAAAGAAAAAAATTTTGATGTTCTTTGATGTTCATGATTTAGGTACCCCTCCAGACTTAGCTAACGCTGAAGTTGTGCCTTTGGCTGGTCATGTTTACCTTTCCTGGTCATGTTCCAGGGAGAGAACCCCCTCAGAGTTGAGTTGTGGGGAGGGAGAATATTTTAGTCCTCTAGGGCTGCTGCCACAAATGACCATACACTGGTGGCTTAGAGCAACCGTTTCACAATTCTGGAGGCCAGAAGTCCAAAACCAAGGTGAGTATAGAGCCATGCTCCCTCCAAAAGCTCTGGGGAGGACCTTCCTTGCCTCTCCCAGCTTCTGTGGCTCTAGGAATTGCTTGTGGCTGCTTCAGTTCACCTTCTTTCTGCCTCTGTCTCCACATTGTTGTTTTTTTTTTTTTTTTTTGAGACGGAGTTTCGCTCTTGTTACCCAGGCTGGAGTGCAACGGCGCAATCTCAGCTCACTGCAACCTCCGCCTCCTGGGATCAGGCAATTCTCCTGCCTCAGCCTCCTGAGTAGCTGGGACTACAGGCACACGCCACCATGCCCAGCTAATTTTTTGTATTTTTAGTACAGACGGAGTTTCACCATGTTGACCAGGATGGTCTCGATCTCTTGACCTCGTGATCCACCCGCCTCGGCCTCCCAAAGTGCTGGGATTACAGGCTTGAGCCACCGCGCCCGGCCCTCCACATGATTTTTTCTGTTCTCTCTTGTCTCTCTCTCTCTCTCTTTTTTTTTTTTTTTATTGAGGTGGAGGCTCACTCTGTGGCCCAGGCTGGAGTGCACTGGCACAGCTCACTGCAACCTTCGCCTCCCGGGTTCAAGTTATTCTTGTGCCTCAGCCTCCCAAGTAGCTGGAATTAAAGGCACCTGCCACCATGCCCAGCTAATTTTTGTATTTTCAGTAGATACAGGGTTTCACCATGTTGGCCAGGCTGATCTCAAACTTCTGACCTCAAGTGATCCACTGCCTGGGCCTCCCAAAATGCTGGAATTACAGGAATGAGCCATCATGCCGGCAATATGAATGCTTTTAATGCCATCGAATTACACACCTAAAATTGGTTTAAAAGGCACATGTCCTTCAGCAAGAGGGCTTGCAAGCATTGCAAGTTTCATATTCTCTCTCTCTCTCTCTCTCTTTTTTCCTTTTTTGAGACAGAGTTTCGCTCTTCTTGCCCAGGCCTGGAGTGCAATGGTGCTATCTTGGCTCACTGCAACCTCCACCTTCCAGGTTCAAGCAATTCTTCTGCCTCAGCCTCCTGAGGAGCTGGGATTACAGGTGTCTGCCACTGCACCCAGCTAATTTTTGTATTTTTAGTAGACACAGGGTTTCACTCTGTTGGTCAGGATGTCTTGAACTCCTTACCTCGTCATCCGCTGGCCTCAGCCTCCCCAAGTGCTGGGATTACAGGCATGAGCCGCTCCACCGGCTGAGTTTCATATTCTCAAATGTCCACATCCCAAGGCCCACCCCGTCCCTTTCAGTGTCAGAAGTCAGTAGAGCAGAACTGCTAGATGTACTCATTCCATCTCCTCCATGGTTGTGCCACCCTTGTTTAAATTGTACTTTAAGTTCTGGGTATATGTGCAGATCTTGCAGGATTGTTGCATATGTACACACATGCCATGGTGGTTTGTGGCCTCCATACCCCCCCCCCGTCACCACATCAGGTATTTCTGCCAGTGTTATCCCTTCCTAACCTCCCCATCCCCCGCTGTCCCTCCCCTAGTCCCCCATCCCCTAACAGACCCCAGTGTGTGACGTTCCCCTTCCTGTGCCCATGGGTTCTCATTGTTCAACACTGCCTATGAGTGAGAACATGGCGGTGTTTGGTTTTCTGTTCTTGTGTCAGTTTGCTGAGAATGGTGGTTTCCAGATTCATTCATGTCCCTTCAAAGGACGTGAACTCAGATCCTAGAACTGGCTTTCAGCGCAGCCTTCCAGCTGCCTGTGAGAAACGAGGGTGGCTTAAACCTGGCCCTCAGGTTCCACAGCTTGCCCTGCACCTGGTAGCCTCTCATTTTCTCCTCACAAAGCTTCTAACACAGTTAAGAGAAGCCAGCTGACTCCGCAGTCCACATCATCAGGATTGCCTCAAACCTTTCAAGTGCCAGAATGCTGGTGTCTGTGAGTGCCCCACTTCTTCCTAAACCTCCTTCCCCATGGCGAGAGAAGGTCTTAGGAATTGCAGAGCTGTGGCGTCCTAAGGGTTCTCACCGCCTACCTATCACCAGCCAGGGAGTCCTTGTTGCCACATTCCGGAGGGGGTGGTTTTGTTCTCTGAGGCTGCTCTCTAGGGCCTTCTGGTCCCTTGTCTTATCCTGGGTTAGACCTGAAAGCAGAGCCTGAAATAAGGCCTTCTGCAAAAATCATTTATGTAGGAAGCAGGCCCAATGCGCCACAGGAAAAGCCAGTAGCAGGGAGTTTTGCTGAGGTGGGCACTGTGGTGGGCAGCTGGCTGTGAGCCCACTGGAATCTTCTGAAGAGCCCAAGAGCCTCTTCTCAGTATTGCCTACTTGAGGATCGACAGTGAGAGGCATGTATCCATTGGTGTCCAGCCCTCATAGGTTGAGGGTCACCCCAGGAAGTGACACCTCACCCACTTCTAGACCAGCATGTGGGTATTCCAAGCAGGCCTCCATCAGTGTCTCACCCCAGGCTCTGTAAACACAGTGCACAGAGAGTAGGCCTCAGATGCAGCTGGGTCAGAGGGAAGGCCCGGGGATATGACGCAGGACACAGAGGTGGCTGATGTACCACCTGTCAACAGTTCCACTATCGCAACTATAACAATGACACTAATAGGGCTGGGTGTGGTGGCTCACACCTATAATCCCAATGCTCTGGGACACCAAGGCAGAAGGATTGCTTGAGCCCAGGAGTTCAAGACCAGCCTGGGCAACATGGCAAAACCCTGTCTCTACAAACAATGCAGAAATTAGCCAGGCGTGGCTGTCACTAAAATTAGCATGTCTGTAAGTGCAGCTACTCAGGAGGCTGAGGTGGGAGGACAGCTTGAGCCTGGGAGGTCGAGCCTGCAGTGAACCTTGATTGTACCACTGCACTCCAGCCTGAGCAAGGGAGTGAAGCTCTGTTTCAATAGATAAGTAAATACATTAATTAATTAATTTAAAATGACAATAATAATATCTGATATGTGTTGAGCTTATAGCATGTTCCAGGTATTATTATTATTATTATTTTGGAGTTTTGCTCTTGTTGCCCAGGCTGTAGTGCAATGGCACAATCTCAACTAACCACAACCTCCCAGGTTCAAGCGATTCTCCTGCCTCAGAATCCCGAGAAGCTGGGATTACAGGCATGCAACACCACACCCAGCTAATTTTTGTATTTTAGTAGAGACAGGGTTTCTCCATGTTGGTCAGGCTGGTCTCGAACTCCCGACCTCAAGTGATCTGCCCACCTCAGCCTCCCAAAGTGCTGGAATTACAGGAATGAGCCAGTGCACCTGGCCTCCTGGTACTATTATTAAGTGCTTTGTGTACCTGTCCTCATGTAGCCCCACAATACCTCTTTGGAGCAGGTACTCTTATTTCCCTCTTTTCATACAAAAAGAAACTGATGCACAAGGTCACTCAGCTAATACCTGATGGAAACAGGAAAGGGACTCAGGTCTGAGTGACACCAGAGCCCACACTTCTTTTCTTTTCTTTTCTTTTCTTTTTTTTTTTTTTTTTGAGACGGGCTCACTCTCTTGCTCAGGTTGGAGTTCAGTGATGAGATCACAGCTCACTGCAGCCTTAACCTTCCAGGTTCAAGCAATTCTCCCACCTCAGCCTCCTGAGTAACTGGGGTAACAGATGCAACCCACCACACCTGGCTAATTTTTGTATTTTTGTAGAGACAGGATTTTGCCATGTTGGCCAGGCTAGGCTCAAGCTAATCCTCCCACCTCAGCTTTAAGCCCAGGCTTAAGCTACTGGGCTCAAGTAATCGTCCCATCTCAGCCTCCCAAAATGTTGGGATTACAGGTCTGAGCCACCATGCTGGGCTAAGCCCACATTTCCAGGCGCTACCTCATTAACGTTCCAAGACAGACACCTGGATATTGAGGTCAGGGCTTGCGAACCTGATCATTGGATCAGAAAAGTCATCAGGTAAAAATCATCAAGATCAGCAAGGATTCCTGGACCTGTGGCCCACACACACTCACTTAAGATGCCCCTGTGTCAAGGGGCAAAGCCAAGGGAAGGAAAGTGGGAGAGAGATCAGCCAGGCAGGCAGCAGGAAGCACCGTCATGCGTTGATTAATGACAAAGATAGGTTCTGATAAATGTGTGTCATTAGGCAATTTCACTGTGTAAACATCAGTGTATTTGCACAAACCTAGTAGCATCCACTACTCCACACCTAGGCTATATGGTGTAACCTATTGCTTCTAGCCTACAAACCTGCAAGGCTTGTTACTGTACTGAATACTGGAGGCAATTGCAACACAATGGTTTTTTTGTATTTAAACATAGAAAGGGGGCTACTGTCACATATGCGGTTTGTGGTTGACTGTAACATTGCTATGCAGTGCATGACTGCATCTGAAAAATGTATGCAGAGGAGGAATGGGCATTTGGGCAATGGTTATGAACAAGGAGGTGGATTGTGTGAGTTTCGGGCCTGTGGGCAGGAGTCATGATTGTGTGAGACCAGGGGACATCCAGGCAGGGACAATGTTGGAAAT